GTGGCCTAGGCAAGTTTAATTCTTCAGAGTGAATTCTTTGCTTTTCAACAGTTTAAAGAGGTTTTTGCTTGTTTGGTTTTTAAACCAATTTTACAAAATTTCCTTTCATTCAATAACTCATATACATTTTGCTTTATAATATTAATTACAACGATTTAATGCCATTATTGACACTGTTTTATGGAAACTTTGCTGTACCCATCCTTTCCTTTCATCTTGCCCTTCTATTCACTAATTTTGGCTCCTTCTTCCATCCCTCTCTTCCCTGTAAACCCCAAAATCTATCTTTTGCCACAGATTTATTCAACACAATGCATTCATTAATTGCTTGACTGATGCTTCCAAAAGCAGTATATATATAAACAAAGAAAAAACCCCAAATACTTAACTTTAAACCTTGGTTTTCTAACCTAGAAAATGGAAACAATATTCATCTTACCAAATTTTTGTTTTTTTCATAGAGTTGTGAGAAACTAAGTGCTTTCACAGTGGTAATGAATTGCAAAATTGGTTTGGTACCAAGACCTAGTGTATTAATTTTCTCTAATTCCTGGGGTATAAAACCAGACGTTTTCGGAAATGACACATGATCTTATTTTTTGAACACATAGAGGCTTTTCTGTACTTCAGAGAAACTGAAAATTGACTTGGATGTTTTTGCATTGTTATTGTTAGTTGCACTTGAATTGAGTTGTAGTTACCTAATGAACAACAGATTGCCTTTGCCCTATTCTATTTTGTTATATTGTTTGTAGTCTCTGTAATGCAATACCATCGATCTGACTTTCTATGGGGGTATTTTATTTCCATTCCTTCTTTTCTGTTAATCCTTTTTTGTCCTTGGAAAACATTACCTTCTTAAATTTTGAATTTTTACTTTTTCTAAGGAATGCATATTTTTGTCAGTGTAGTTTTTTGCCTTATAGACTTGTCTGTTACTCAGCCGAAAATTGAGCTATAGGTATGTGTTTCATTCCAAGCTTGATAAGTGACTAAAGGCTATAGTTTGAGGATTCCTCCAAACTATCTGGCCAGTAAGCCTGATCTTTTTTATGATTTTGAGTTTTGTTCTGTATTTTTCCCTCTACTGCATCCAGGACCTTCTCTCTCTCTCTCTTTTTTTTTTAAAAAATTATTTTATTATCTTTTTTGGTGTGTGTGTGTGCGTACCGTCAAATCAGATCCGACTGGTATAGGAGGAGATTGCCCCTCCTTCTCCAGCAGAGCATCTGGTGGATTTGAACCACATAACTCTGGGATTGCAGTGCAGATTCTTGCCACTAAGCCACCAGAGCTCTCTAGGACATTCTCTTTTAAGAGCAGGAGCTACATATTTTCTGGTCTGTGTTACGTCCAAAGTGATTTTGTGTGTGTGCGTTCCTTTCCCTCTCTTTATTTTGCTATATGTGAACATGTAAGGTGGGTATGCTACACTGCCCCTTAGTTTGACAGCACATTATTTACTCACCACCAGATTCCTGGTAAGTGTTGTAGAGCACAGAGATGTCCACACAGAGAACTGTTCCCTGAACAGAGCAGCTGAGGGTGGTTGGGCTTGTTGCCTGCTGTCTATCAGTGGTGCAAGAGCAGAAGTGACTCTTTGCTAGTTATTGAGGCTGAAGAAGTTGTGAGTGTGACTGGACGTTGTGGGCATAATTGCTGATTCATGCCACGCAAGCATTACAAAAAAGTGAAAAAGAGAGATTTTAAGAAACATAAAGAATAAGACAGTGGTAAAGGTAAAAAGAACTAAACAACAATAACAAGATGAAGTAATAAAAAATAAAAATACAAAAGGAATGGGAATAAGAGAACAAAATATATTAGTATGAGAAAATAAAGAAGAAAATAGTATAGAAAAAAAGAAGAGAGGGGGAATTTTAAAAAACAGAAAGAAAATGCCTAAACAAAAAAAGGAAAACAAACAAAACCCCCCAAAACCCAAAAACTCCAGCAAAAAAAAAATAAAATAAATAAAAACCCTCAACCTCAAAGCTTTTAAGTCAGAATTGACTTGCCAGTTCTTTGCTGACCCTGCAGCCACTTTCCAGAGGCTGTAAATCTCATGAAAGGTGATTGCTCATCTCTATTTCATGGAGAAGCTGATGGATTTGCACCTCTAAGCTTTGAGTTGGCAGTGTGACTCCCTGACACTAGGTCACAGGAGTTAAGAGACCCGGGCCGTGGGTTAAGGCACCAAGCTACTACTCCCACCTGTATAGGAGGAAACAGGTGGTGTGGTGGATAGGTGTTCTGCTCCTACCAGAAAGAATGCTGAATCCAACCCACTCGCTGTAGCTGCTCTCCTGGAGAAGTCTGTGGCAGTCTGTTTCCATAATGATTCTAGCTTTGTAAACTTTACAGGTGAGTTCTTCTCTGTTCTATACAGTTGCTATGGGCAAGTTTCATAAAGGGAGGGCGGAAACCACTAACAATATCTTGTTCCAAAAAACTCAACTTATTTTGGAAACATTCCCAAAATTATTTTCATTCCAAACCTCACCTTTGAGTCTTGTGAAAGAAAAGAATTTCATTCCTTCAGCTTGAGACCCAGATAGTCACTGGTACACTTATTACCTGAGACCTACTCATGTTTTACACTGTCCCAATATTTTATTCTTTTCTGTCCTGTTTTTCTAAATTCCCTTAGTTCTGAGGCTCGGAGTATAACACACTCTTTTCAGTTATGCTTAGAGTGTGTTTCTCCTTAATTCATAATTAAGGACCATGTATCAACATTTAAACAACACTGGAACAGTACATTAAAGATAACTACCAGAAATCCAAGCTGGGTTTAGAAGAGGCTGTGACACTCGAGACACTATTGCCAAGTCAGATGGGTGTTTGCTGAAATGAAAGAGTACCAGAAGAATGTCTATTTGTGCTTGATTGATTATGCAAAGGCATTTGACTGTGTAAATCACAACAAAATGTGGCTAACCTTGAGTGGAATGGGAATTGCAGAACACTTGATTGTGCTCATGTGAAAACTATACTTGGGTTACGAGGTGGTAGTCATTGGAACAGAGCAATAAAACAATGCATAGCTCAAATTAGGAAGGGAGTGCATCAGGGATGTGTCCTGTCTCCACACCTTTTCAATCTGTCTGTGGAACAGATCATTCTGAAGGCTGGACTTTGTGAGAGGAATGTGGTATCAGGATTGGAGGAAGGCTCATCAACAACACATGTTATACAGATGACACAAACTTGCTTGCTGAAACTGAGGAAGACTTGAAGCATTTGCTGCAGAAGGTCAAGAACTGTAGTCTGTAATATGGACTGAAGTTTAACATCAAGAAGACCAAGATTCTCACCAGGGGGGCATTTGGAAGCACCATGATAAATGGAGAAGAGGGTGAGGTTGTTAACAATTACAGCTTGCTTGGCTCCACAAGTAACACTCTTGGCAATAACAGTCAGGAAATTAAAATGGATTGCATTGGGAAAATCTGCTGTCAGGGACTTTTCCAGAGTACTGAAAATCAACAATGTCAGTCTAGAGACTTAAGTGTGCCCTGATCCAGGGCATAGTCTTTGCAGTTACTTGCTATGCATCAGAAAGCTGGACAATGACTAAGGAATGCAGAAAAGAAATGATGCCTTCAAGTTGTGGTGCTGGAGAAGAGTCTTAGATATACTATGGACTGCCAAGAAAACAAATGGGTCTTGGAGATGGTGAAATCAAATTTTTCCTTGGAGGTTAGGATTTTTAAGCTCCATCTCACATACTTTGGACATGTAACCAGAAGGGACTGATCCTTGGACATCATGCTCAGAAGGATAGAGAGACAACTTAGGAGAGGAAGACCTCAGATGATACAATACCTGGGGCAATGGGGGTAGGTGTTTGGGAATCAGTGGGACTGGTTCAGGCAGGACAGGGTTTAGAGCTGCTGTACAAAAGATCGCTCTGAGTGGCAGGTGACTCAATAGCACGTAACAATATCTATCTTTCTATCTTGTAATGTGCTCTGGTGTCATAGTTGGTATGGATTTGCACCGCTAACTCAAAGGTTCCAATATAAAAGTTGCCCAGAGGGAAGTAGGTGGACGGTCTCCTCCTGTGTGATTTACAGTCTCTGAAAACCTGCTGGAAGATCTGCTATAAGTCAGTTATTACTAGGTGGCAATGAATTGAGTTATCCTCGTGAATCTTAAAGTCTTTAATGAAGATCAAAAGATCTTTCGCTAATTGCCTATTTTATAAGATCATGTTGTTATATGCCTTTAAGTTGGAAATGACTCATAGCTGATCTTCCAACATGTTTTCAGAGGCAGTAAATCACACAAGAGATTGCCTATCCTTCACCCTCAGAGCATCTAGTGGATTAAAATTGTGTGATCTTGGCTTGGCAGCACCCCTTCTTACCACTAGACCACTAGAGCACCCTTATGAGATCATACTCTTGATACTTATTTACATTTTACTTTCTAAGATGTTTTAGAGGCATGCTTTTTGCGAATCTCCTGATGAATCACCTTTCCTCTGGGCTAACCTGTCTTCAGATGAATATCTCTAAATCAAAATACCTCTCTTTTTAAATTTTTTTTCAAAATACCTCTCTTAACTACTATATTTCTTCTTTCCAAAATGATCCTTTACCAAACTCAAGATTGTACAAATTTCTTTTATATTTCCTCCACTTAAGGTTTGGACACTTGATAACATATTATCTGTATGGTAGAGAACTGTATGGTAGAGAGAAATGAGATGAAGTCCCAACGATGCAATGAGAAAGAAAAATGATTGACTGATTTTGTTGTTCCATGCTTTGCTTTACCTCTAAGTGAGAATAAATATGATTTCCTCACCTCATCTCCTTACTGTTGTTGTTAGGTGCTGTCAAATAGAGTATGACTCATAGTGCCACCCATCTCATAACACTATTACTTTCCAAGTTAAATTTCTGCATCCAACATCAGTGGCAAATGCATTCTTATTGCCAACTCTCCAGATATTTTGCTATAAAACATGAACTCTTCATCATAATCTGTGGTCAGCTACTTGGAAATGTTGAAGATATTTTTTTCAAGGTCCTTCTTAAAGCTGCTTTTACCTCATTATTTTTCAGGCTGTAAATGAGAGGGTTCACTAAGGGAGTGATCACACTGTACTGCACTGAGAAGATCAATTCCAGCGGTGAATCCGAGTTTGGCATGGCATAGCGAAGGAAAGCTGAGCCGTAAAATAGGAGTACTGCAATGAGATGAGAGGAACAGGTAGAAAATGTCTTGCTTCTGCCTGTGGAAGAGCTGATGCCCAGGATGGTGGAGACAATGAGAGAGTAGGAGAAAATGATGAGGACACAGGTTCCAAGCCCATGCAAGAGAGTAGAGCAGAGCATAACAGTAAAATTGGTGGAGACATCAGAGCAGGAGAGAGGAAAGAGTGAGGGCAGCTCACAGCTGTAGTGAGGGATGAATTTATCCCCACAGAAATCCAAATTCAAAGCTAGAAGTATGTTGATAAATGCATCCAGGAAGCCTAGACTCCAGGACCCCCAGGCCATCCACTTACAGATGTGGTTATTCATCATCTGACCATAGAGTAGAGGGTGACAGATGGCAACATAACGGTCATAAGCCATTACCGCAAGTAGGCAGGCCTCAGTGCCTCCAGTATCATACAGAAAGAAGACTTGAGCTAAGCAGCCTCCCACAGAGATGGTCTTCCTTTGAGACAGGAGATTCTCCAGCAGTTTGGGCACTGTGGTAGAAGAGAAGCAAAGATCTAGAAAAGAGAGGTGGCTCAGGAAGATGTACATAGGTGTATGGAGGTGAACATCCACCCAGATTATCAGTAACATCAGCAGGTTCCCCATCAGCGTCTGGAGGTAAATTCCCAGGAACAACACAAAGAGCAAAGCTTGGATCTTGGGACCACCAGATAACCCAATGAGGATGAACTCCGTAGTAGTACTGTGATTTCCCCAGGTCATTCAGAGAATACTTTACTCTGTAAAATAAGAACAGTAATGGAATTGAATCTTCTTTACTTTGGTTATTTCCAGAACATAACCAGTTTCTCTCTACACATTCCCTTCTTCTCAGGCTATATTTTCTATTAAAGATTTTAAAGCAACTCTCAGAGCTGATCTTCCCGCATGCTTTTAGAGGCAGTAAATTGCACAGGACATTACCCATCCTTCACTTTCAGAACATCTAGTGGATTAGAACCATGTGACCTTTGGTTGGCAGTGTATCCCCTCATCAGTAGGCCACCAGAGCGGATGCAAAAGTTATTTCCCCCCCCTTCCTAAGATATGAATTTGGAATCTCCATGACTAATCATCGTAAATTTTGACTCTCAAACTTGTTGCTGTCCTCCAAGATTTTTTCTTTTTTGTCATTTTCTTCAATGGACTCTTCATCTTGCTAAGCCTCATCATCCCTTGTGCATTCCAGTATGTCCCCTAAAGTGGTTGTACCACATTTCTTATTCTTCATTCTTAAATTCTTTATTCAACATTTTCCACAATTCATTAGTGTTTGAAAGGAACATAAGCTTTTTTAGAGTTTTGTTATCTACAAGACAATAATGCATATATTGTTTGATTTAATCATAAATTAAAACAAAAGGCAGCAGCTATATATAATCATATTGATAGGATTAAGAATCAGTAATATGGGCGAGTCATAAGTTACATTAGAGTCGGGAAGTAGATATTGATGTACATAGAAATAGTACTCTAGGCTCAGAAGAAGTGGACACTTTGGGCCTAAATAACATCAGAGAACAAGGACCAGAGGAGACCTGTCCATTAAAGTCTGAACTCTCTGTAGCATCATCTCATTGGCTCAGGCTTGAGCCCCAAGATCTGCCCAGAGAAAGGGCCATAAACAGATATTCCCCTCACAAGCTGGGGCCTTTTCTCTGTATCACCTTTCAAGGAGGAAGGTCTGTCCCTTTGGGGATGTAACTTTCTAAGAAATCTACCACTACCCTCATTTCTGTCTCCTTGTCTTTTCCCCCCTTAATCTTGTGCTCTAATAAAAGGCTTGCTCCTATACTTTAATGCTCCACATACTAAAGTCTGTTCTCCCAAGAAATACTAGAATTGCTATACTCTGTGCGATCTTGGTACTTGAATACCGGTCTATCCGCTATCTCTTTTGTTGGGTACAATTCTTTCACCTGTGCAAGAAGGGTGAACTAGGATATTGATTGCATGATAACAATATGTGTTGCCAAAAGAGACTTCTGTGGCAATAACAAAGAAAAATAGAAAGTCCCTAACAACTTCTATGAATTGGTTCCAATTTGACGGTATATAACAATATAGTAAAATATTGAAATCTACTTATTAGCTATGTTTGAGTCTATGTTGTAATACTATCAAGGAGCTTTTATAATTTATGAAAACTTAGTTATTGACCATGAGATAAAATTTAATTTCTGCTTGATATTCAAGAGCTCTTTGTCATCTGATACAAATTTCCTCTCCCATTCAGACCTTCCAGCATTCCTCAAATAGCTCGTACCATCCACAAAAAAGACCCTTCATGACAATCACCACCAGTAAGGACTGAAATTTAGTCTTTAGCAATTTATTTCATTAGAATGAATGTACAGCTACAAATAAATTGAAACCATTCTGGGGGACAGAACACATAAATATTGCTTTCAAGGGTGTATGTCTTTTACAACCTCTGTCATTACATATCTTTGATCCACTAAATGGTTCTCCTCCTATCTCGCCAAATTGGGAAGCTTGAACCTGATCAGAAAAGAACATTGAGATTGTAGTGTGTACCTTTATGGGCTGCTGATTGAAATGTCAGTGGTGCATATTCACCAGCAGATATGCAAAGAGAAAGGTGGGCTATCTCCTCACTAAAGAGTTACAGCCTGGGAAACCCACAAAAGGTGAGTTTAACACTTTCTGAGCCCCCAGGTCATGCAGAACTTCTTCACAGTATGCAAATGACTGCCATTGTCAACACTCACAATCAGGAAAGGAACCAAAATTCATTATTGGTCTTTGGAGCTCTTGAGGACAACCTTCCAATAAAGGGGAAGGCGATGCAACAACACTAACACAGAGGAAAATTGCAATGGGAATCACAAAAAGGGGGAGACTCACAGCAAAGGACATGCCTAATAAAGACAGATAGAAAAGATTGGATGAAGAAGAAACTTAACCTGAAAGAACTGGGTGGAGAGAGAGAGAAAATATTTAGAGAAATCACACTTCATCAATGATACTCTTATAATCTCCAGAATACAATAATTTTCCTGTAGTGTTTGATTAATGAACTTATCTAAGGTCAATAATTGTTCACCATATATTCATCGTATTAAAGAACCAATTTTTCTATGGTTAACTCTAGAAACAGCCCATAATATATAGCTTTCTCATGTAAACCAAAACTTGAAAATTATATAATAGTTCAAACTCTTGATATTCTCAAAGGAAAATATCAAGTGTTATTATTCTTGTGCCTCTTTCTCACTAGTTATAGTAGAAATATTCAACAATGGAAGTGCAGATTTTACCTTATTTGATCTCAGGCTTCGTCACCTAAATGTAAGTTTATATACTTTTCTGTGTAAATCTAAACATATTGCTAAAGATGAAGGAACAATTAATGTGTGAAGTTTTAGAGGAGTCCCTGGGTGATATGAATGATTAAGTACTCCATAACTAACTGAAAGAATGGTGGTTTGAACATACCTGGAAGCACCTTGACAGAAAGGTGAGGAGGTCTGCTTTCTAAAAGTCACAGTCTTTGTACTCTGTGCAGATGGGCTCTCCATGAGTTGAAATCAACTTGGTAGCAGCAATAAGCTTTTAGAAAGGTACCTGTATTTAGAAAGCCATTGTCTTGGCCTGCGGAGTTTGGTGGCCCAAGGGACATCTGGTCAATGATATGAAGTCACAACCTAAAGGCAGACCTTAGCTCATTATCTAAATAATGGTAACATTTGAAGAGGCACAGAGGACTGTCTAATAAGTGAGACCTTTAGTCTTTTTTGTTGTGCAATGTTTCTAACCCTCTGAGGAATTAACTGAGTATTTTCAGTAAATAAGGTATTATTACTTCGGAAAAACTTATGTTGTAGACAGGAAACTTATCTGTATATCTGAAATGTTCCTTTTCTTTAGAATAAATTCAGTCAGACCAACAGTTTTGTATCTAACTTTATCTCACAGTATTGACATGCATCAACTAAAATATTTTTTTTCTGTAGGTGATCTTTTATCAAGTGATATTAGATGCGTATCTTACCTTATTTGATGAATATTATATATCATAGCAAGATTTGTGTCTTATATATGTTCTCTATTTTCTTTTAAATATTTATCTAATAATTCTCTTTTCCCTTTTGCTTTGGTCCATTATTTTCTGATAATAGTAAAATTTATGGTACATTTTTAACAGTGTTCTATACCTAAATGGAAAATATGTATATGTATATATATTTTTTGTTTTTGTTATGTGCCATTGAATCAACTACAACTCATAAAGATCTTATGCACAATAATTCTGAACCCTGCTCTATCCTGAGCCAATATCATTGTTTTTGACATACCTACTCTCATTAATCCACTTACTGTGTTTTCCTCTCCTGGGCTGTCCCTCCGCCTTTCCAAACAGACCTAGTCCTGGAAACATGCTCAAAATCCTTTTGTTTAAGGGGCAGCTTTGTTTCAGCCTCTTCAAGACATACATGTTAGTTCCCTTGGCAGTCTGTAGTATGTTCAATACTTAATCTCCAGCACCACAACTCAAAGGCATCAATTCTTCTGTCATCTTTGGTCATTGTCCAGCTCTCTGATGCATAGTAAGTAATTGTGAAGACCATGATTGGATCAAGTGCACCTTAGTCTCCAGACTGACATTGTTTCTCTTCTCTTCCTTCTGCAGCAAATGCTTCAGGCCCTCCTCAGTTTCAGCAAGCAAGGTTGGACAGTGTTTGGTGGCGCTCCACAGTTAAAACAAGGTTGGAAGCAGGAGTAGTATCCATTTCCGAAATAGCTTGCCTCCAGAAACTCTATGTGGAGAAATGATGAAAGTTATACAAGTGTTCAGGTCTTTTGTTCATACAGTCAGTATGAGTCATCTATGACTTGATGGCCCCCAACAACAACAACAATTCTATAGACACTACTTGGTTTATAGTTTTGTTATCTATTTGTTATTCATATTAAAGATATTCTATCCATTCTTAAAAGTGGTGTATTGAAATATCAGTTGTATTTGTTCTTGATGCTATGTGTTGGCGAGTCACCTGTGACTCATAGCCACCCTGTGTACTGGAATTCTGAAACCTGCCCTGTCCTGAGCCAGTCTCACTAATTCTGACACACCTACCCCCAATGCCCCAGCTACTGTATCAACCCATCTCATCCAGGGTCTTCTTCTTCGGCCCTGTCTCTCCACCCTTCAGAGCATGATGTCCTTCTCCAAGGACTGGTCTCTCCTGGCCATGTGCCCAAAGTATGTGAGACAGAGCTTCAAAATCCTAGCCTCCAAGGAAGCTTCACTCTCTCCAAGACAGACCAATTTGTTTTCTTGGCAGTCCATAGTATGTTCAAGACTCTTCTCCAGCACCACAACTGGAAGGCATTGATTCTTCTTCTGTCATCCTTAGTCATTATCCAGCTCTCTGATGCATAGCAAGTAATAGAGAAGACCATGGCCCAGATAAGGCACACCTTAATCTCTAGATGGACGTTGTTGCTTTTCAGTACTCTGGAGAGGTCCCTGACAGGAGATTTCCCCAGTACAATTTATCTTTTGATGTCCTGACTGCTGGTACTAAGAGTGTTGTTTGTGGAGCCTACCAAGCTGTAAAAACAACCTCAATCTCTTCTCCATCTATCATGGTGCTGCCAATTGGCCCAGTGGTGAGCATCTTTGTGTTGATGTTGAGCTTCAACCCATATTGAAGACTACAGTCCTTGACCTTCTGCAGCAAGTGCCTCAGGTCATC